TATTAACAAGATTTCATTAGACTGTTTAACTTCGAATTATTTGTTGTTCATCAATTTACTACTGCTTCTTACAGATTAGATGTGTTCTGTAAATCCATCCAGCAGGTGCAAGATATTTCCAACGGCACATAGACCACACTGGCTAGTAAATAAAAAATATATATCTGAAAACAAAGCTCAAAAAATGTGAAAGTTTGAGGACTGTGCAAACATGCAATAAAATGTCTGAATAAGAGTGAATATCTTATATCTAATGCATTTTATTTATATCTTCAACTGAAATGCAATATGTATTTCTGATGAATATATAATCATAACATCTCAAAAGACTTCCCTTCTCATTCACAAGATTTTCTACATTTGTCATGATGGACACTATTCCCTGAATACCGAGACAGGTCTAGCCACGTCTGCAATGGCTGAAGTTTTGACAAAGGCTGTGTTATATAAAAGGAATTCACGGTTATAAAAAGTTGTATGTGATTACAACAACATAAATTTTTGGATATTATTCTTTTTCTTTTTCTTTTACAAAAAATGTTTATTCTAGTAATAAGGTGTACTTATGAATGTCCACTTCATCATGTATTTTTTTTCGGAATGAATTTCAAATTCAGAATAAAAATGGACCACAAATTAAAAAACGAGAGGTAAATCAAAGTAAAGAAAAATCACATGTTCTGTAATATTCAAAAAAGTTCCAGCATATACATTCTATCCCTAACATCACATTAATTTTTTTTTACACTCAAATAACCATCTTCAAAATAGGAACTGATTCCCTGATCATATATATATATATAAACTTCATATTGCAAAACAAGGTACAATTCATCATCCAAGAACCAAACTAACACAATCTTGGTAAATTTTAATGTATCAATCCTAAAGTACCTAATTCTTAATTCTAATCAGACCTGAACATTCACCAACCTTCAATTTTTCAAATGTACATAATTCACACCGGTTTCATCATGAGAACATGTATTAACAATTTTTTTTATTATTATTATCATTATCATACTTTTCATATAAACAAAAATATCAGAACAAAATCATTAGTTACAAGAATTAGAAGCTTAATCATAAATAAGAGAGAGTTAGAAAAAAAAAGACGAAATACCTAACCCCCTTTCCCTTGTAACGCAAAGTCATCGCGTAATTAAAGGCGGCCATTAACCAAAAAACCCTGACGAAGAAATTATAGGGAGAGCCTACGGGACTGTGAATTTGAGCTTCCGTGTTACGAGATTCACATCTGCTTTTGCTCGGCGACGCTTGCAAGAAGTTAGTGATAAATAAACCAGGTATACAAAAGGGCACAAACTGAAAGCAAGCAGTGGTAGAAAAAAAATTTAAATACTCTAGTATAAACAACTTTCTGCATGAACCAACATGCGCGAGTAATTTCACGCGGGGCCTAAAACCGGGTTATAATTTTATCCCATTTCTATTTTAAAATCCTAAGATTCAAAGTGCAATGGCACAATCCCTTTATATAAAACTGACTATAGGTGATCTATTTACACTATCCCTAGAAAAAGTAAAGGATAGAAACCAATTAATTTATATTTGTACTAAAATAAGGCCATAATACAGGGTCTTCCTAATAAACAAATTAAAGAGTAAAAAACACCTTGATGACTTTTGATCTCTACAAAAATAGGGCTGCTTCAAATTAATAAACAATAATGCTATACAATTTGTAATATTCAAATCTAATAATTATAATTCTACTGCATTTTTTTTTTTTTTTTGTATGTGTATGTATGTGTGTGTGTCTGTATGTGTGTGTGTGTGTGTGTGTGTGTGTGTGTGTGTGTGTGTGTGTGTGTGTGTGTCTGTGTGTGTGTGTGTGTGTGTGTGTGTGTGCGTGTGTGTGTGTGTGTGTGTGTGCGTGTGTGCATGTGTGCACGTGTGTGTGTGACAGAATGGGTGGGAGTGGGTGTGGGTGGGTAAGAGTGTGGGGGTAGGTATGGTTGTTTATGGGTGTGGGTGTGCACATGTATCTATGTGTAGCTGTGGATGTGTATGCTTGTGTACATACATGCATTTATGTATATGCTTGTAGATGTCTTCGTGTGCATTCCTTCCTGTGCACATGTGTGCATAGATGCACAAGAGAAGATGTATACATACATATGTATGTATGCATGCAATTAAGTACTAATATTTGGCAAAAGAATCATGAAAACAATAAGAACAAAACTCAAACCCCAAAACCAACCAGCACAGGGTAGTCTGAGAACATTCTACACGAACGACACGTGGGTCAACACAAGACACAATGGCTATCCGCTACAGCTGATCCATCTTTCTTTTCAGACACTCTCAAGATTTCCCATTTCATAACATCTTCCCTTCTTTTTTTCTTTGCATATGGGAAAAAAAAAATCATAACAAATAATCTACACCTAAATAGCTTCACACCAACTCTAATGACAAATGTAAACATAAACATGTTATACTCAACAATTAACACATTAACAATTAAGTTACCAATAACCATATGGAGAATAACTATACCCACAACAATACTGATGATGACAATCAGAGGAAAGTAATATCATTCCAGTTTAACACTCATAGACAGTTCACTCTATATCACGTCCATACAATGATTATTAAATGGCTCTGATTCTGAAGAAGAAAAAAATAAATTGCAATAATCATGGATAGAAATGACTACCAGACAATGACTGCTTCTCAGTAACACATATCAAATTAAAGGATATAGCAAACACTTTGTTACTCTGGCCAAAGCTTATCTTTAGATTTCTCAAGCTCAGATTAACTAAAGCCGAGGCCACAACATTATTAGTCAACATACGCAAGCAAGGAGAGGAAAACTTACATTGGTGCGTTTACAAATTGTGATCCAGCATGTATGACCACTGTGAAATCTTCCGTCACAGCCCTCGTATGATTTTGATGCATCTAATATGATGATGTGATAATGATAACCAATAAAACAATAATGGTAACAATACTGAATATAATTATTGGAAAGAGAAACATAAAGCAATAATAAAAATAATGAAACTGGCGACATAAGTATTGATGGTGGACTTGGGAAGAGAATAACAGGGACTGATTTAAACCAGTCGTATTTTGGATGATGACGATGACGATGATAATGGTGTAAAAAATTGGCAACAATAACAAAAACACACAAAAGTAATTTTTTATGACACAAAGGGTAAAAATGCTGTGTTCCTCTCCTTAAATTATTCGCATGGCACCTTCAGTAAACAGTAAGACTATTTTCTCTTCTCTTTCATCACCACTTTACAAATGATGATGTTACTATGAAACTTGTCTCTAATTTTTCCATCTTATATATAAATATAGAAGTACTTATTTTTGTCAAGATTTTTGCCTATATCTATAATGTCATGTCAATTTGGAATAGCAAAATCATTGATGAAATATAAAATATCCAGCTATCTCAACTAGCATCTTATGTTCATTGTTTCCACTAACAATTCTCAATTTTACATTTATATTCTCCAGTGATAAAAATCTTAGAAATGCATCAATGGAGTGTTATTTATAAAATACTCTTATATGGAAATCAGTGTTTAACATATAGTCAGCATTGCCCAAACCCATAAAAAAGAATAAATTAATAAAGGAAAATAGAAAATATTTGCAATTCTGAAAAAAAATATATATATATAATAATAATAATAAGCAGTTTTCCAAAGACCATTCTTTTTCCTAATGACATCATCCAAAATGAAAAAAAGAAAAAAGTTATATAATGGCTTACACTGTCAAGAAAAGGCATTGGGCATTCCTTCTTATCATACACTGTCAAAACTTTACATATTAATCTTTGATAAAGATGATTCACTTTCATAACAGTGGTAATGGTTTTGAATCACAATTACTCAATACAAATAGTGTAAAATTCCAAGTCCTTATTCCAAAGAAGAAGAAAAAAAAAAAAAAAAAAAAAAAAATCTACATCTCCAAAGGTTCATTTACACTGTACTGTCCAAGCACAAATAACAAACTCTCTGACTGATACACATACATAACAGTCCATCCCATACCTTACCGACTATATAAATAAGAAAATACTATCCATAAGACCGAACTGGAAGCTTCTACGTAAATACTATTTGGACGAACTAAAGGGGAACAGGGAATGGCCGGATTATTCAGATGGCTTCGTATGCCTCGTCAAACTCCTTCTCTGGCGAGGCTCCGAAGAACTCCTCGAGGTCGTCCTTCTCTTTGTCTCGCCTCTTCTTCTTCTTCTTCTTGTCTCCGTCCTTCTCCTTGTCTTTATCTTTGCTCTTCTTCTTGTGTTTCTTAGATGACTTATCATCATCCTGCAATAAAAGCAATGACACAGTTTCGTGAAAGACATAATTATCAACTTTTGTATATACAATATTATGATTTTTTTATTTAAGTATATACACATGCAGGAGGTTGTGTGTAACTGTGTGTAAAAGCCAAACACAAACAGTGCATACACATGTATCTGTGTCTATGCCCTTGTGTGCTCACCGATGAGTTTGTGTGAGTGTATGAGTGAGTGAGTGAGTGTGTGTGTGTGTGTGTGTGTGTGTGTGTGTGTGTGTGTGTGTGTGTGTCTGGGGGGCCGTGTGTGCGTAAGTGTGAATATACGCTTGTGGATGCATGTGCCTATAGAACTGTATGTTACCTTTTCCTTCCTTTCTTTATCCTTCTTCTTATGCTTCTTCTTGCGGTCTGAGAGTTCCGTTGGGCTCTCGCTCCTCGATGTGCTACAGCTGTGGTGACTCATCTTCTCCACGCCTTTGCACGTCTCCACTGTGGAACCTGATGTCAAGAGTAACATTTGTACTGCACGTAGCACTTACACTACACAGTAGGAGTAACACTTATACTATGCACTTAGATTACACTGATGCCAGGATTATGACAATAATAATAATAATTATCATTATTATAATTATGATTATAATAATAATAATAATAATAATAATAATAATAATAATAATTATAATAATAATTATAATAATCATAATAATATTAACAATAATAATAATGATAATAATAATAATAACAATCAATGATAATAACAATAATAACAATCAATGATAATAATATCAATAATAATGATAACATCAATGATAATGATTCTGCTACTACTATCTCTACTACTACTACTACTAATAATAATGATAATGATAATAATAATATTAATGATGATGATGATGATGATGATGATAATAATAATAATAATAATAATAATAATAATAACAATAACAATAATAATAATAATAATAATAATAATAATAATAATAATGACAATAACAATAGCAACAACAACAACAACAATAATAATAATAATAATAATATTAGTAATAGTAATAATAATAACAACAATAACATTAAAAATAATAATAGCAATCATACTCATAAAGTTAATAATATAATGATAATAATGATAACAATAATAATAATAATAATAATAATAATAATAATAATGATAATACTAATACTAATAATAACAATAATAATAATAACTGAAATCAAAATACTTTCTGTTTAGTAAGTAGGTACTTCCTAGCACAAACACACTTGTAATACCATCAATAAATATACACTAAAACTTTATGGTAATGAATACTTCTATACTACTTATAACACAAAATAAGCATATGCAACAATTGTAATAGATTTCATAATTCTATGTATTATTCTCCAGAAAAATTGATTTTAAAATCTTTACTTTATAATATTATAAACACTTATGTAAGTTCATACAGTAACACTTTTCTCTCACCTTGGTTATCATCAGAGTCATCCAAAGTAGCTCCTTCCGGCATGTCCGTCGCAGTGGATATATAAGGATTGGCTATCGTTCCTTCTTCCGAGTTCAGCCAGTCGTCTAGCTTGTCCTCCTTAGCTTGCTCTTCCCCATCACAGTGTCCAGAGTTAAGTACAATCCCAGCCTCTTTATTGCTGTGAGTGTCTGGGGACCCCTCAAGGCCTAATTTGGACAAGGCTACTGAAACGTCATTTTCACAGTTTAGTTTCTCACTATCACTAACTTTCCGTTTGTTATTCTTTGGCTTCTTGGAAGTTCTTACCTCTTTCTCGTCACTTTTACTATCAAGCACAGAGTCTACTTTTGAAAAGATTCCCACTGAGTCGTCTTCAAAGTCTTCGTCTGCGGCAATTTCTACATTTGACCCGAGGTTGAGGTCATCTGGGTCTAGGTCCACTTGGAAGCCTGACACCATTGGATTTCCATCACATTCTTCCTCACTAGAGTAGAAAATAATCGTTACAAATTTATAAAATAATAACAGTATTAATAATACTTATCATAATTCATTTTGCTCAAATTCGACAATGTTTATAATGAACATCAGGATTCACACTTGTTATTTCTGAATTAAATAATAATAATAATAATAATAATATATTAACATCTCAATCTCAGTACCTGTCCTCTTCGGCAGGGGGGGTGGGTTCTTTGCCAGAGGAGGTGAGGACATCGCTCAAGAAGGACTGATCTAACTTGCCGCCATCAGGTACAAAGTCGTCCACAGAGACGGGGTCCACAGATCCTACTGTTGGTATGACGCAGTCTGGAGTTGATCAAAGAAATTATACATAATCTATGGTAAGCTACATATATCAGAAATTCCCTTTGAGAATGTCACTTATGAATCTCCCTTGTTATGAATGGCACAACTGTGTTTGTCAAAGTTGAAAAATTTGTATCATTATTATAAAATATTGGTACATCTCCCTAGCTATCAATAAACAGTTGTAATGAAGAAAAAAATTGCATTACTGTACAATAAGAATTTCCAAAAATATGAGATGTAGTATCATGATCTGATATGTCCCATTCAAAATGTCTTTCTTTTTTATCACAGCAAAAATCAATATATGAAACAATAAAAAAAAGGAAATACTATAATATCAAATTTCAACTAACCAAACCTAAAAGTCAAATATGAAATCAAAATTTAAAATACTACTATAAAAAAAATCCAAGAACAAGATAACAAAAAAATAAGATTACATAAATCTACCAATCACAAGCAAAACACAATCATTTTTTCAAGCAAATACAGTTTGACAGACATGAACCGCAGAATCTCATACCAGCCGTTGCCTCCACTGCAGGTTCTGGGTCTTTGTTCTTGTTGAAAATTCGAGACATAAAGCTAGTCTTCTCTTGTGTTTTCTCTGGACTCTGGCTGCTCGAGTTTTGTGCACCGCTGGAGGGACTGTTGCTACTGCTGTTGCTGCTGCTGTTGTTAGTGCTAGTGCTGTGAGGAGAAAGTAGACATTAGAAGAAGATAATGAAGAAGATGAACAAGATGAAGAAGAAGACGAAGAAGAAAAACAAGATGAAGAACAAAAAGGAAGATGATGAAAAAGAAGAAAGAATAAGAAAAACAAGATGGCAAACGAAAGATGATGACAAACTCAACAGAGAAAAAGAAGAGTAAAAAGAAAATAACAAAGAAGAAAGAATAT